AGAAAACATTTTAACAATCAGGATTTCTATCAAACACTTTGGTCGAGGGGGGGGGTGGGATTATATAAATAAATGGTTAATTTAATTCATATTTTTTAAAACGATTGGTCAGAGGGGGGATTTTATAAATGACTGGTTAAATTATTTTTTAAATGATTGGTCATGATTACTGTTAGAATATGCAATGCAAGGATGTCTTTTTTTTTTAAATTTTATACTCAAACTAAACTGCTTAGAGAATACTTTGGAACTTAAACTTACATTTTGACAGTTCTAGTTCGATTTCATCTATTAAAATTAAAACAGGCTACGACAATCCAGCTGCTAAATTTAAAATATATCGTGTTATATAATTTTTAATGAGAAATATATTTTTTATAAACGTAGTTTTTGAAAGCTCGTTATACTTTTTTATTTGAGCCAGTCACTGAGCTATTAGTCAGCACTCAAACACTCCTTGCCCTGGTTCAGTTTGTGTCACGTTATTGATTTTACTATCACGTTAATACCCTGGACAGCTTTCTTCTGTCTGTAAATGGCTGTTTTTTTTTTATTTTAGACTGCAGTTCTGGGAACTTTATTATAAATAAAAATTCTTATGTCATAACTGTGATCTAGGGTAATACTGTTGAGAAATCCCATGTTTGATTAGGTGTCTTTAAAAGGAGTGGGGTAGGGGAACAGATAAAGTCACAATAACAATATTGTTATTGGGATTGAAGCTTAAAAGAAGTGCATTGATTACCCAATAATACAAAACATAGGTATACCCCCACCCCCACAAAGTCACAATATCAATATTGTTATTGCTGTTGAAGATTAGAGAAGGGCATTGATTACCCCATAATACATAACATAGCTATACCCTGCCTGAGACAAATTCATCATAGCAATATTATTGTTGATTGATTTTTTTTTATTTGGTTGTGTTTAAATTTACTGCTGACTGAAGTGAGTGAGCTGGGAATTGATTTGGCTGAGTCATCTGTTTTGTGTTTGCTCTGTCCTTCTCTGTGGGTTGCTATGGGTGCTGACATTTTAGCATCATCACATCACTGCCTGACACCCCTGCTGGGGCATTGAACGCCAACCAAAGATCTCCAGTCCTCTGTCCTGCTGGGGTATGGGCCGCCAACCAAAGATCTTAAGTGCTCTGTCCTGCTGGAGTATGGGCCACAAACCAAAATTCTCCAAAGTCCTCTGTCCTGTGCCATCTTCTCCACCAGACTCCAGGTGAAGCCCATCTTTGTGGTTTCAGTCTCAAGGTACCATCTCCAGGTGATGTTTAGCCGACTTCTTTTGCGCTTTCCATGAAGTTCCACCTCAATGCCATACTGGTGATGTTGGTTGGCGATCTGCGCAGTGTGTGTCCTATCCAACCCCATCTTCTTTTCCTCATTTCTTTATCGGCAAGTTGTGCTGGCATCTTGTCACCTAATTAACCATTCATTTGCTGTCCAGTTGTTAACTTTCAATGTCTATCAAGACATTAGTCAAGAGACCATTTCTTTCTAATTAAGAAAAGATGAATATATAAATTGACACACTTAACGTATAAATTATCTATGGGAACATTGGCTATTTTTATTTTTAAACTGCTCAAACTGCATGAATTAAAAAAAAAAATTCTGTCAACTTTGCTGTCACTTCATGATTTGTTATAAGCATCTATTCTGTTTTCACTTTCACCAGAAACTATCAAATCCTTGCCTGAGCAGTGTTTATAAATGAAAGAGATCTCAGTCTAAGAGTCAACATTATTCTACATTCAGCAGTTGTACCAGTTTAGTGGTTATTAATAGTAGTTGTACCAGTAGAGTGGTTTTTAATATAACTCACACAGTTACTAGTTTTTCACATATCTGTTTTTGTACTACCTTTATTTAATTTTACCTGTAGATCAATACATAAATGGTACTCCTGGAAGCTATAAAAGTTACATGTTTTTACAATTGTTGTTTTGTTATAGAATTTGCTTCCTGAAAACCAATTTTTGTTGTGTATCTTTTTTTATATGAATATACTAAAAACAACTATCTTTTTGTATATTTTAGAGTACACAACTGAAGTACTTGAAAAGATAATGGATCTTGTCACATGACCATTCAAAGTAAGTAGCAACATATTTAAAACCAAACAAATAGTCAACTGATCAATAAACACTTATCTAATAACTTAGATAAAAAGATATAGCAGTCTATTTTAAGACCTCCCTGTAATCTATTGTGGCGACATATGGTCAGACTAGCAGTGGTGTATTAGCATCAGACCCTACACATTTTTTTTTTGTTCAGTGTTGCAGCTGTATTGTGGTGATAAAGAGAAGTACAGGGCCCACAGGTTAATTTATATTATATAACTAATTGTAAGTAACAAAGGCATTTATAATTATGTAGATAGGATAAAATACTCGTAGAATGATGAGAATATTTACTTTTTCAAATGTTTTCTTAAAAAAATATTTAAAAAATAGGAAAATATCAATTAGGAAAAAATATGACTTATTTGTAATCCTCTTTCATATTTTAAGTTGAAACGTTATAGTTTTTTTTAAATGTGAGTTGACCTTTCACTAATTCAAGTGAATTTTTTTGTGTAAGGCGACCTAGTCTAATTAAAACCTAGTGTATTAAAGAAATGTTACTTCCCATGATTAAGTTTTTGTGATTTGAGTTTAAAACAAGTTAATAAAAAGTCTAGTGACAATTTAAGCGCAATTTCCTTAATTAATTTTTTGTGACCGAACGAAAGGATATTTTTTAAAACTTTCTTCGGCTGTATTGTTCTAAATTATGGCAGGAATCGATTGGTAAATGTTTCAAGTTGCTAAGTGGTCTGGTTGCCGAGATATGGGCCAAAAACTGCATTTGTTCGAGGTTTTTTGGCTTTTCCGGGAAATCCAGGAAGGAATTCCGGGAATTTTTTTGGCCCACATTCATCCTTGGAACATGCTTAACAAATTTGCTTTTGGAACTAGTCCTCGATATTGCTTCGTTGAGGAGGAGATACGACTTATAGCTGGGGACACACATCCATCCAGAAATGACGAGTTAATAATCGCAATTCCTAAATGCGCTAAAAACATAGTTTTTGCTATATAGATCTATTGACAAACCATATTAAATTACACTTTGATAGAATCCAGTGAGAATTAATTATTTGGTCAGATACTTTGAGTCACTTCAGATTTGCCAGATAATTAGTCAAAATCAGTTTTTGTAACACTTTACAAAAACAGTGTATTTAAAAGAGTAAAAAACAACTGAAGATCATGTAAGAACAATGGCTTTTAAAATATCTCCACCCCTTCCTCCATTGAGCGTTGCAATATTTATATTTTTTATTGAAGACCCCTTATTACATTCTTTGCCAGGGTTATAACCAGTGCCGGCGCCAGGTTATTTAGCGCCCTAGGCAAAACTTATTAAAAGCCCCCCCCCCCCCGCAACTTTTTTCGTGTCCCCAGGGACATACTTTCGATTTGCACCCCCCTCAAACTTTCGATCTGCACCCCCCCCCCCCCCTCAAACTTTTGATTTGCATCACCCCTCAAACTTTTAATTTGTTTTTCCAACCCATTTGGCCCCCCCCCCCCCTACGGCCAGCGCCCTAGGCGACCGCCTAGTTCGCCTTATAGGTAGCGCCGGCCCTGGTTATAACTTTCAGTAGAGCCAGCTGTTATAGATTAACTAAAATGTAACTTAAAAAAAAACAACACAGAAATATTATGCAAGACTTTTATAATTTATTGGGCTAAAATAAACTATTTATTCTTATTGAGCATTGTAAACCGCTTAAATGAGCATCTAACAGTGTGTATTAGTTAGAGATGATGACTGCTAACCCTAATGCCTCGAGTTTGTATCTCAGGCTGAGGCCCATAGGACGTCCCTGAGTCCACCCAACTCTGATGGGCACCTGACTCACAAAAAGGCGACTGGACATAGCTGTGACCACACTATATCTTCATATTCCTAGGTCAAAGAAACACAGGTGAACTTTACTTCATCTGCTCCATTGCCCGTCAGACTTTGAAATGAAAACTGTTCTCTATAATGCTTCCATTGAGAACCAGTGTAATATAGATATTGAGAACCAGTGTAATATAGATATTGAGAACCAGTGTAATATAGATATTGAGAACCAGTGTAATATATGAATTTAGTCCCATGGTGTTGGCTGATTAGTTTCTGTTGTTAAACATCCTTGTATGTAGGTCAACCGTGTATTGGATTATTGAAACACAATATATCGTCTGCTGTTGATGGGATTTGGTTAAAAATAGTATTTGTTGTGACCGATACCTGGCCAGTTTTTTCTCTTGTAATGTATGTGACCAATTGATTTGCCAGTTTTATTTCTGCTATCTGGTCACGTATGTATTATAATTCTAATTGTTCGCAGATGCATAGTTATACTACTGGTTTAAAATTAAATTATAAAGCATATGTAAAAAATATTTAACCTTTTATGGACGAAGTGAATTAGTTTAGAAAGTTGTCAAGCTAGGCGTCGCTGCTTTCAGTCTTTACCTTGTCTAAATTCATCGACTTTTTTGTGATTAGGCTTATAATAAGGTGTATGATTTTCCTCTTCGTCTTTTTATAGTGGATGCCGAATATTACTAGATTTAACAATGAAGCCGTTTCTAATGCAAGTTACTTTGAAGTTACTTCAATTTAAAAAAAACAAACTAACTCTAACAATATTGCGTAGTTAATAACTGAAAAAAGTTACTAAAGTAGCTAATTATTCTTGTTGGTAAACCACATATATTTAAAAAAAAATTCTTTTTAATTATAGCGTTACAGATTATTTCATTTTATTTAGTTTACTGTGTGAGACTGGTCATATAGTCTAGTTTTTAATTCTCGTTTTAAGTGGCAAACAGAAGCAAGGAGAAAATGTGTGCGTTGGTATGTTTATCAAATTTCTTTTTTCTACTTACCTCCCTTGAAATGTTGACAATAATGTGGGCGTGGCCGGTGACAGCTGTGTACAGCAGACTTGATTGATCAAGTCGTCGGCCGGGAGTTTGTGAGAGAAAAAAAAAGTGTATACATTCTTACTTTTTTTTTTCTCTCTTCGTTTCTGTTTGACACTTACCTGCATTTCTTGTACCATAACCACAGGTAGGAGAAAATAGCAATTGGAAGTGTTCTACACTTGTGATTAAATAGGCCTACCAGTCGATTTGTATTGATCCGGAGCAAGGGTCAGACAACTTTTTTTTTAAGTTAATTTTTTTTCTCTATAAAAGTTATTCCGTGCACTTAAAGATACATTTCAGTGACGATACTTAATTTTCGTTGAAGTTGCATTGAAACGAAAGTTTGAAGCACACTTTAAATCTAATTTTCTCAGTAAATAATAGTATACATTTTTTTTTAAACTTTGAGATCCGTCATCTATTTACTGTAAGGATATTATGTTACACTTAAGAAAACCAATATAAGTACGAAGCGTGTTGCCGAGTATTGATATATAGATATATAGGTTATCTGTACTTGCTAATTTTACAACTTTTTCTTAGGCTAAACGTTGTTAAAGTTATGCGAGTTAAATTGAGTTTAATTTCATATGCCTTACACTACACCAAAGGGTTAGGATTATGGCTGCTTCGTATCTAATCTATATAGGTGCCCGTGAAATACATTTTTAGAATAAACCAAAGTTACCTAATAGTTAGGGCATTATTTCTACACTTTTTTAATGCTTCAAACACCAAATATTTTTAAAATCACTTAAGGTGAGACACTGTATGATAATAAAAATAACGAACGCAAGTAGCAGAAAGGGAAATCTTCCATGGGGGTTATAGTTGTTTTTTTTTGACGATTTTTGACGTCACACCATCTGAACCCTCCACCCCCTCATCACACACCGCCACAAAATTACGGATCCCCTCCCCACTACGAGTGTGACGTCATTTATTGCCGACCCCCTTAAGGCGCTATATTAGTCCATGCTCAACTCCCCACCTGGTACTGTCACACAGCACCAGTACACCCCCCCCCCCTCATAATGACATTTTTACCCCCCCCCCCCCCTCTGATCTGTACAATAACGAAAACTGTATGCTACCGTAACATTTATTACCCCCCTCCCCCCACCTCCCATTCACAATACACTTAGCTTATCAGACCACCCTACCCCTTAAGTTTGTTACGTTATTTATGGACTACCCCAAATCACAACTTGAGACTTTGAAGTGTTGTAAACCACAACACCAGTCTATACCTGCGATCACAGGCTTGTTCAGTTACCGGATACACGAACTGGGGTACAGTTACCTATCTGAGACAGTGTGTGCTATTGATTGTAGGTTGTCGTTCTGGTTTAGTGGGGTAAAGATTGCAGCATTCGTTGCATCATCGGGTAGGTTGGTATTTGCCATATATGGGTTTATATTTTGTTAAATATGGTTCGTTGCCTATGCATGGTTCATATTTTGTTAAATACGGAACCAAGGCCGTATATGGTTTATAGCTTGTGAAATGCTGCTTAATGGTTTATATTTTGTTAAACATGGTTCAATGCCTATACAAGAATTCATATCTTGTTATATACGGGTCTTGTCGTAGATAGTTTATATTTTAATATGGGCCAAGGCCGTATATGGTTCATATTTTTTGAAATGCCTATATATGGTTTATATATTGTTAAATGTGGGTCAATGTCATATATGGTTTATATGTGGTTAGATATGGGTAAATGTCATATATGGTTAAATACGGATAAAGGCCTTATTTAGTTTATATTTATTCTGGTGGAATATCGGTCAATGATTTATACGGGTTATGTTATATTTTTAACAGGTTAGTACCGGACATGTACAGGTTTCGTTGAAAATGGGTTTATGCCTTATATGGTTTATATTTTGTTAAATGTGGATCAATGCCTTGCTTTGTTTATACTTTGTTGAATACGGGTCCATACCTTATAAGGTTTATATTTTTAGAAATTCGGATCAATGCATACTATTACACATTCTCGTTGTCTCACACACCATCTCACACACACACACACAGTCAGTCATAGTTTGCACTCTACACCATTCACACTCTCCCACAATCTCCCACACCTGTAACCTGTCAATATGTCCTTAACATTGTATTGATCAACCTTGTTTGTATCCTCTACCCCAGCTCTCCACCAACTGGTGTAAGACACAGAGGACACCGTCGTCTTCGAGCGGACCACAGCTCAGCTCATGCTATCAGGGGAGATAACCTTCACCTAACAACCTCATCGCAACAGTTGTCTACCCTTTTCGATCACGACCAGTGATAAATTCGCGAGACATCTAATTTATACTACATGTTTGTTAAATCAGCCTGGCTGTTATGTTTAGATATCTCGCAACGTAGTGTCGTCAAAACCATTCTAGGGTTGTGAGAATTTTATATACAAATATATCCCTAATCTACTGAAGTTTTGGTGTGGCTGACTATGTTAGGTGGGAACATTTTTAAAAGCCACCGTCCCTTTTTACCTGTGAAATTAATGTGACATTGATTGATGGTGTTGATGAAGAGCGTCATCAGTCCAGAAACTGATTTTCTAATTTTAAATCGTGGTTCATTTCTCTCAAGTAAATCTTGCAGTTAATTGTAGATAGACATCTCGACAAAGTAGAGCCGAAATTAATTACACATGGGACTTTCTTGTTTAAAATTCGACTGTTACATAGTTATGTAAAAATTATGATCAATTCAAAACAGTGATTACTTTATTGTGTGCATAATTAATTTTAATGACAGTCGGTCAAAGAAGTGTGAAAAAGACAGTTGAATTTTGAAGATGGATCCGCTTGATATTTCGTCTTTTGAGTCTCTGGGCGCCTCCGGCGGAACAAAGGAACAGGAAGACGAGCAGTTCCATAGTCTCGGGGAAGATGACCTCTTCGGAGATAAGGAGGACCTTTTTGGATACAAAGAGGACCTTTTTGAAAACAAGGAGGACGATTTTGAAGGCAGCTTCCAAGTGAAGACAGCGCCTCCTAAGTTGTCTTCTACCAAGGAGAGTAACTTGCTGTTCAGCTTTGATGATGGCGGCGCCCCGGGGACTGGGAGCTCAAATCCCCCTGGGTCACTCACAGACATGTTTGCAGATTTTGGGGAGAGTTCTGGCACCACGTCAGGTGGGCTGTTTGATGATTTGCTGGATTTTACGGGGACTGGAAGTAAAACTGGGGACCTGTTTGAAACAACAGAGGTAAGTTTTTTTTTTTTTTTTTTTAATTGATGAAGTGTTCTTATCTTAAAACATAGCCCTCCACTTATTTTTCTCACTACGCTTTAGTTTCTACTAGGCTTAATAATAAACATAACTGGAAAATTTACATTCGTATGTCAGTTATATCAGTGGAAAGGCATGACATAGTGATAGAGAGCTAGACTGCTGACCCAAAAGTCTCGAGTTCGAATCCAGTTTTAATCAGTAGAATGTTACTGAGTCCACCCAACTCTTGTGAGTACCCAACTCACGTTAGAGACAGCAAAGGTGGCTGGGCAAAGTGCTGACCACACTATCCCTCCAAATGCTGAGGTCTCTGAAACAGATTAACTCTACTTCATCTGCCTAATGTGTCTTGGGCAAAATTGGGAAAAGATGATATCAGTTAATAGGTAGGTCTACACATTACATGCCACTGAAAAGTAAGTTTTTGAGAGGTCTTAAATTTCTGTGGATGCCAAAGTTGGACGTGTAGGGAGAGGGGGTTCTATAATTCAAAATTTATGTGGGCGTCATTAATGGAGAAACCCTTATCTGGGCATTTTAAGACTACATGGATCTAGTTGTTGGCTACTTAATGCAACATGTTTTGGTTATCATGGGCCGTTTGAAAAATGTTTTAGTTGTTAAGCCACTTAATAAAAAACGCCCGTAGTTATTGGCCACTTGATACAAATTATATAGATGGCCACATGATACATGTATTAATTGATATTTTTTTAGTTATGGCCAACTGATACACGTTTTAGTTATAGGTCACTTGATACACGTTTTAGTTATAGGTCACCTGATACACGTTTTAGTTATAACTGACTACAAATTGCCAGCATTGTACACTAGACCTGCCGATAAAAGTCTTATGTAATATGTTCAGGTGTGTTCAAAATTTAAAAGATTGGGGGCGGGGTGGTGGGGGGGGGGCACTTTAACACTAATATAGCTGCTCTTGCCCTACACTTGCCCATTTGATGTTGTATAACCGGCCCCCATGGCTCCACCACACAGACCACTGCCCTCACGAGTTTGCTGGAAGCTAACTGTGAACTTGACTAAAAATGGCGTCCCGTTGTCTGTGATGTCAACACATTCCCATGATGCTCAGCGTCCCCCCCTGTTTGTTCTTACCTGCCATTTATTTTCTCTCTATTGTTTTAGCACCTTGTTTGTGTCTTCTACCTAAAGGTGTTTTTACTGTGATATATAATGTAGGAGTATTGGAGTCACTGATTTAATTCGGGTAAAGTGACGTTTTTTTTTTTTTACTCATAGAGATCGGAGATGGGAAGGGATGAGGAAAGCTGGTTAGCCTGTAGAGTGACCCCTTCCCTTCCTTAACTTTATTAGAAGTAAAATGGCGTGACAATCGATGGTTTGCCTGAAGGAACACTGCACCTTAATGTGGTCTGATGGTTTTTTTTTTAATTACAAAAAAATAAAGAAAGATTGAAAAAAAAAACGAAAAAAAAAAAGAAAGAGTTATCGGAAAGCGTCATTCATGTTTGTTGTTGTATGCTAACAATGCAGTTAGACGAGTTAGTGTGTGCAGCAATTATTCTCTCTCTTCCCCCCCCCCACTACAAAATTATATGTGTTGAACACACATGAAAGGCAGTTATTGACATGTCTGTTGGACGATGCTGACACACCTATACTACAGCACATGAAAACACGTTGATAACAGCACATGAAAACACGTTGATAACAGCACATGAAAACACGTTGATAACAGCACATGAAAACACGTTGATAACAGCACATGAAAACACGCTGATAACAGCACATGAAAACACGTTGATAACAGCACATGAAAACACGTTGATAACAACACATGAAAACACGTTGATAACAGCACATGAAAACACGTTGATAACAGCACATGAAAACACGTTGAAAACAACACATGAAAACACGTTGATAACAAACACAGCACATGAAAACACGTTGATAACAGCACATGAAAACACGTTGATAACAGCACATGAAAACACGCTGATAACAGCACATGAAAACACGTTGATAACAGCACATGTTTAAAAAAGGTTGATAACAGAACATGAAAACACGTTGATAACAGCACATGAAAACACGTTGATAACAGCACATGAAAACACGTTGATAACAGCACATGAAAACACGTTGATAACAACACATGAAAACACGTTGATAAAAGCACATGAAAACACGTTGATAACAAGGGTTCCTGACACGTCGTTGTTGATGGCTGCTATTGTGTGAAAATAAAGGTGGTAGGTGTTGTCGGGCCTCACCCCCACCCATCATAAGGGTAGCTAGGGGTGGGCAGATGGGGCGGGCGCCAACGATAAAGGGGCGCCAAACGAGGTTGAAAAAAATGATTAAAAACTCTTTCTGAGCTACATAACGAATTATATACAATCGAAGTTAAGAATGTGGACTGCCTCTTGTCTTTATGAAATACTTAACTGTTTTCTATTTTAATAAGTGTGTGACACTAAAATATAAATTAAGGGGCAGTGACTGGTAAAAATAATCCCCAACCCTACCAATGTAAAGGGGGGGGGGGTGCAAATTGATAGTTCGCCCCGGGCGCCGAAATTGGTCCAACTCCCCCCCCCCCCCCCTCCCATCCCACTTGCTAATCTTAATTTGACTCAGTTTGACCTCCATTTGTAACCTTTTATATAATCTACTGTACATCCGCTATTTAACACGTCCATTCTCATTTTCTCATTACTTAATGCTAATGGCTGGATTAACATAACCGATGCGGTTGGGTTAGGCCGGCCAATCGAGATGAATCATGCCGCGCTGGTTTTTAATTTTAGTTAAAACTGGTGACGTCAAGGATATAAATAGAAAGCTCGGAAACCGATGACGTCATTTTGAACGGGTGTAGGACAAACGGCCGACATCTTAAAGGCCGACAGGACATAAAGCCGGCTGACCTAAAGGATCCTATTTTGAACCGCTCTTCATCCGTTTGAGCACATACACGTGGCTATCTTTATTTAAATTGTAGATCTAGATCTAGGGCCTTTTGGTTGGCATCTGGGGGGAATTTTTATACCAGTATCCGACAATAGAATCTTCTTTAAAAATGGGATATATGGTTACTTATTGTTAACTAAATACACACATGGCTTGCTAATGTCAATGCTAACCCTATCCCTAGCCCCAACCCTGGTCCTACCATACGCCTAACCCTAATTTCTAACCATAAAACTAGTCGAGACTACAAATACTACAAACAACCTAAAACACCTATTTTTTGAAGAGTCTATTGTTGGACATCAGTAAAGGGTTGTTTTCTTGTTGTCTGTAAATCGTAACCAAATTACTGTAACTGAATGTTGAACACGTGACTAGAGTAGAGTTTCTTCCCCACGTGACCACAGCACTGCTGACCACGTGACCATAGCACCGTTGCTGACCACGTGACCACAGCACTGTTTCTGACCACGTGACCATAGCACTGTTGCTGACCACGTGACCATAGCACTGTTGCTGACCACGTGACCATAGCACCGTTGCTGACCAACTGACCAGCAAACCCACCCACGGCACTTGTGGAGTCCCGTACAGCCCTTGAACGTCTCTCCCCCCCCCCAATCCCCCGCCCCGTGACTGTGGCGTAAGTTGATTTCTTGAGCGTGGAATTATGCAAAACGTCGCTCTCCCCCAGCGGGATGGCGGACCACCACTTGCACCCCCTTCCACTCCCTCCCCGTTCTTCGTTTGGACCGTCTCGGTGAGTTGTTTAGCCATACGTCCAAATAGTGCTTCGTACAGACAACTCTCCGGGGGAGCATGTCCACCCTTCCCCCTCAGGCGAAATTTTAAAAATGTATGATTTATATAGAAGATATATACTTTATCAACCCTCCCCCCTCTCTCTCTCTCTCTCTCTCCCGGGAAATGTTAGTGCGTTCTAGACAAAATTTAAAAGAAAATATAATTTATACTGAAGTTATATAATTTATCTAGTTCGCCTCTCCTTCCTTGAAAATTTTAAGTGCACCCCGCCCACCCTCCCGAAAGTTTTCTGTTCTTCCCCCCCCCCTCCCCCTTGGAAAAAAAATGTTTGAAGGAAACCCTGCTCACAAAGTTGGAAAACCAACTCCATGACTCCTCGGAGTGAGGTCCAACCTTTTCTGTATTTCCCTCGTCCGCGACTAGTTTTATTTAGTTGGTTTATGGCCTTTCCTCAGTAACCCACCAACCCTGACCCTGTCGCCAGCATCTTTCCCAACTCCCCCCCCCCCACCAACCCCCCCCCCCCCCCCCAACCCGGCTAGAACTAATGTAGTTAAGTAGTGTAGACGCTACTTTAAACTTGTTACATTTCAACCGAGTTGTGTGACCTGTCTGTCGGAATCCTGACCTCACTGTTGTCGGTGACCTTTGACCTGTCTAATATATATCGTGTACTCACACTCACGTGGGAATTCTGGGAGTTATTTTTTTAGGCGAGCTCGGTCGGGGGTGGTGGGGGTTGGGGTGGACGTCTAATGAGATAGTTGGGGGGTTCACTTGGTTAGTTGGTGTTGTATATTGTTTCGGTGTTTGCATAGTTACACCGCGTTTATACTTGCGCCATGCATACATATAATTATACATGTTTAGAAAAAAAAACCTCGCAACAATTATTTATACATGTTCCATCGGATAAGTGCGTTTTTATTTAACATAAACTTGTTACGAGGTTTTCTTTCTAGACATGCATACATATACATGTTGCAAGAATAAACAGCGTGTTAGATGGTGTATATTTTGGTGTTTGCATGTTAGACGACTGTTTTCAGGGTTAGGTGGTTTTGTTTAGAGGGTTAGGTGTTATATATTTATTTTTTTTGTGTTTGGAGGGTTAGGTGAGGTTATATATTGTTTTGGTATTTTCATGGTTAGGTGATGTTGTGTATTGTTTTGGTGTTTGCATAATTAGGTGGTGTTGTATATTGTTTCGCGTTTATATGGCTAGGTGGTGTTCTATATTATTTGGT